CTTTCTAACTCTTAACTTCCTTTTTCATCTATTTATTTCTCTTATAGAATTGATGATGATATATTAATTGAAAATGTTTGCCTCATTGAGTAAAGAATTACTTTTAAGATCTGTTTATATGACACTTGTACAATGAGCATTGTGTGAAAATTAATTATATCAAGAAATTGTAATATTTTGTCTTTGTATAAGTTAATAACAGTAGTTTTAAAAGGAGCAAGTATATGAATAAAAGAAGAAAATACATAAAATTGTCAATAAAATTAGTCACTTATTCATGTTTTTAGATCAGTGCTTATCAAACTAGGGAGCTGTGAAACTCAATGCTACTGTACAAAATCTTTAAACACTTTTCTATTTTTAATATACGATGTATTCAATTAAAAAACAAATATATATATAGTAGTGTAATGAAAATCTATATGAAAAATAAATTATATATTATGTTCATTTTGAATTAAAAGTGATAATTTTTTTATAGTATAAAACAATTGTACTATCATCAAACTGTGGTTTTTGCGTTGTTGTTGCTTTTATCTTTCGTTGCTGTGAGTGGAAGAAACAAACGAGATGAGATTGTAACAAAAACTAAACTTTTATTGTCCTTCTCGCGTACTTGGTACAGCACGTCTCGACGATGCGGCTAACTGGTGGTCAACGGCCTTTGTGGGGTGAGTTCGAATTTATTCCAGGAAGTGATGACTCATACACCCGGGGGTATTGCTTGTATTTTACAACCGTTAAGGGTACAGATGTGAAGGGTGGCGTTCACCACAGAGTATCCCCCAGTGAGGGACGAGCAATAGAATTGATGTCAAACGAGTCGTTTAATGTTACATTATGGTGACTAGTCTTTTAGGAAAATGAACGTGACGGCCTGATCTAGTCATGACGGTTTGATCTTCTCTAGAGGTAGTTTCCAGTTTTTTGTTGTATTGCATCAGTGCTCCTCCAACTGCTGCATCTGACGCATCTACCCATATGCATAGTTTAGCTCCGGGTATTGGATGGTGGAGAAGTGTGGCATTGGCCAGTGCTTCCTTAGCTGATACAAAGGATTGTTCTGCCACTCCTGACCATTGCAGAGATCGTGATTCTGTTTTCCGAGTGAGTGATGTACGTTTCTCGTTCTTTTTTCCTTCTAGTAGTTGCACTAGTGGGGCGAGGATGTGTGCCACTTGAGGGATGCATCTCCTGTAGAAATTTATTATACCTAAGAATCGTCTAAGTTGAGTGAGAGACGAAGGTTTGGGAAATTCTCGGATGGCTCTGACTCTTATCAGGGAGTGGTTCCAGACCCTTTTCCGAGACCTTGAATCTGAGAAATTCAATTGATGGTCGAATATGGCTGAGAGCTATCATCTTATCAAATTCGGCCTTAGCGATTTTAAGTCTATCGGGTGCTAGGCGACATGGTTTCGCCATTATGGGCGGACCAATTGTTTCTATATGATGTACTACGTTGTGTTTTATGGGTTGATTAGGACATGGAGGTCTGGTGATCTCAGGAATTCTTCCAATATCTTACGATATACGGAATCATTGGTCATTATTTTAGAGTGGATGAAGGTTTCTAATAATCTTCCTGGAGAGTTCACCTTGGTCTGAACGTCTGTGAGACACTTGCGTCTAAGATTCGGTACCAAATGGAAATGATAGAAGAAATCTGTGCCTATTATTGCCCTTGACACGTTGCCAATAAGGAATTTCCAGCGAAAAATCAAGAGTGAGTGTTCGTTGGTCGTAGACATGAATTGCAGTTGTGTTTGCTGCCATCAAGGTCATTTGAGATGTGCGCTTCTTTTGAGACGAAGAGGCTGGAAATATTGATACGTCGGAACCTGTGTCGACAAGAAAGTTTATGTTCGTTCTCTAGTCTAGGATGAACAGGCGACAAGATTGTTCCAGCAAAGTGCATGTCGCCTCTATGCTTTGCCGCTCTCGTTTGTTGGAAAAACTACACGGAGGAGTACATTTTTGTGCCTTTGTGCCAAAATGGTTGTGGTACCAGCAGTAGTTGTTGATACTGTGGTGAGTTAAATTGCAATGTCCTGAACTGCTGCGGGAGCGTCGAGAAAAATGGTCACTGCGATCCCGACGTGCTTGTATTAGTTGATTGATTCGCTTGTTTATCTATTTCGACTAGTATTTTGTTGGTTACTGTATCGGGTTTCTCAGGTTGCGATACTGAAGCAATCGTTGCGGGGGTTACTTCCGCCATGCGGTCCGCTATCTCCGCTGCTTTGTCTACGTTGAGTGGGGTAATGGTGGCTAGGATGGATTGGACGGAAGTCGGAAGATGTTGTATGAATAATTCTAGTATAACTGCGTCCGGGATTTGAAAATTTTCTGCCCAATGCTTTAGAACACATAGTAGTTCGGAGGGTTTGCGATCTCCTAGCTGTTCTCCAGCCAATAGTTTTCGTAACTCCTGTTGAGACAATTCACCGGATCATTTAATAAGTTCCACCTTTATGTGACCGTACGGGTCTGTACGGTTCGGAGAAATAATAATGTCTCTAACCGTTGATGCAACTTCCGGTGGTAAATGGGCCACTACGTAGTTGAGCTTTGCGGCACTTTCCGTGATCGGCTTTGGAGATCCTAGCGCAAATGTGCTTTTGCACATGTGGAACCATAAGGCTGGGTCGGGAAAGTTGTATGGAGGGATTTTTACTGCTGCAATCTCGACCATGATCTGACGACTGAGGTCTTGAGAAAAGGAAAACGGCGTACCTGATGAAGGTTCCAATGGTAGCTCTTAGTCCGGCTCACCAATGTGGTTTTTGCGTTGTTGTTGCTTTTATCTTTCGTCGCTGCGAGTGGAAGAAATGAACGAGATAAGATCGTAACAAAAACTAAACTTTTATTTTCCTTCTCGCGTACTTGGTACCGCACATGTCTCAACGACGTGGCTAACTGGTGGTCGACGGTCTTTGTGGGGTGAGTTCGAATTTATTCCAGGAAGTGATGACTCATACACCCGGGGGTAATTGCTTGTATTTTACAACTGTTAAGGATACAGATGTGAAGGGCGGCGTTCGCCACAATACTATTATAAAAGCTTCTCTTTCCTTTGTCCATCATTTAGGCTGTCAATATCTGCTAAATTAATGTGATTGGTGTGTGTGTGTGTATATATATATATATTAACAAAATGTGAGCATAACAATATTACTTTATAAAATGTTTGTTAAAACTATAAATGTTAGTTAATTTTTAAACTAAGAATTCATATAAATTCAAGAATTGTAAAATGTTTTAAATTTTTGGCACCTTGTCAGAAAATGTTTGAGAAGCACTGTTTTAGATATATGGGATCAGAATATATACTAATAATATTTTTCTCTTTCAATATCAAAATATTATCACATGTTAATTTTTGATTGTTTTATTTAATGAAACAAATATTTAGAATTATTGTTTTGTAGTCAAATCATAAAATTCATATTTATTTTAATGTACAGCACTTTGTTATAATGTAAAAGTTTGATATTTTAGAAACTTGGATTTTAAATTCCATAAGGTAACTACAGCTTTATAAATAAAATAACATATTTGCACTGTATCTCAACAAATAATAAATAGATAGTTTAAAGTTACATAATAAAATAAGTCAAGCAAAAAAAAAGATGTAATTTTTTTTTTCTAGAAATAAAATTTTTCAATTGCATTGAGAGAAACTTTTCCATAGTTTCATTGATATGAACATTGAAATACAGGATGGTCATAATTAATTAAAGTATCCCCTATTTAACGGTTGAGGGGATATGAAGCATTTCAAACTCAACTAAACTTTTTTTATGCTGATTTTTTTCTGGACAGGCAGAAGAGATTTTCATGAAAAAAAAATTTAGTTTCAAAACTCACTACTATTGAACTTGTGGCAAAATCTCTCTGCACAGTTTAAGAAGTAACTTTCAGTCATTCACAGCATTCACCATTGGCATTATTTTCATTAATCAACTACATAGGAAATCACACTCAAGCAGTCATGACTATTGCTGATATGCACTAACACAAATGGTATTTCACCTACCATGCAGTTTTATACCCAAAATTTGACCATAGCATGTGTGCATAATGCATATGCTATTTAATTTTTTTTGCTTAGTACCAGAGGTCCCACAGTCTTAAGTTTGGAACTTAATTCTTTTTCCTCAGAAATTTTTCCTGAGGATTTCTGGGCAACCCTCAAGGCTTCATGGAAAGGGGGTGGAAAGTAAAAAAAAATTTAGATGATCAAAGAGACAGTACTGCCTTAAAAATGTAAACCAAAATCTTGTTTAGAAACTTGCATTGTATACCCAAAATCAAATTAATCATGTTTGACAGTGGGGACTTATAGAATTACAAAAATAATACACTGCTTTTTGTCACATTTCAAATGACTATTTTCTTAGTTCTTTTTTTCAGGGTAAAAAATTATATTGTATACACTTGTGCAGATTTTTTTCTGGACATCCATTAGTATTCATGATATGTAAAATTGCATGATAACTTATCTTTATTTGAATTTTTAAATAAAATTGTTATAAAATATTTATAATAATTATACTACTATACATGATTGTGATTATAGTTGACAAACATTATAAAAATTATAAAGCAGAATTAATAAATATGTATTCTTAAGTTGAAATTGTTTATCATTGGTTGTAAATTTTTATCTACCAGCTAAGAAACCTAAGAGGGAAAGTTTTCTATTTTATTGGCTTTTTATCTGAAGCTGTTTGTACTAATTTTAAGTACTACCTCACATTTAAAAAATGATGAATTCAAAGTTATAATTATGAAAATTCAAAGTTATAATTATGAACTGGAAGTAATAAATATTTTGAAATTACATAAATTAAATACTATATTATTTAAATTTTATGGTTCTTTAAATTTTCTCTGTATGTTGATTCCTTTATGAATAATCTAGTGAATATAAATTTGAATAAATATATTTTATTTTTTAAATATTCTTTTTACTTAAATTTATTTTTTATTTTCAGATCTATAAAAAAAGATGAAAATATATGAGATATTGGAATTGGACATAAGATCTGATTTAACAACAATATTATTGCAATGTTACCAATCTGCACATTGCCTAGTTTAAAAGAAAAAAACTATATATTTTTTTTCATTAAATTCTTTGACTGTGTTAAACTAATTAGGGGAAACAATATATTTAAAATGCATTATTTTCTTGCAAAATCTTGTTTGGATCTTTTATTTAAAAAAAAAAAAAGAAAAAAGCTTTCCAGCCCCTTTTGGGGTTGACTGGTACTATGATCTATTCCCAATTCCTATTGATTCTGCTGCCAGACCATATTTGGAAGTCTTTATTTATGTGATGTAATAAAAATAGTCATATTTGGAATGTGTTAAATTAAAGTTAACAGAGCAAGCATTAAGTTGTGTGTATAACTTCATTATAAACATAAAATTTCTAACTTTTGCTATAAAATTTTATTACACTGTTATCACTTTGTCCTTCATCCACAGACATACTCCTGCATGTGCAGCATTAGTAAGAAAATACTGATAATACCAAAATAGATTTTCAAATGATTGAATATATATGTTTTAATTATAATTTGCTTTAAAAATATTGAATTTTTATGAACTTGAAAACAAAATATACAAAGATAAAATTGGCATTATCTAAATTATGAATTTTAATGTGTTTATATTCAAAATTCATTCTGCAAGTATAATTTTTTGAAATTTTGTAACCAATTGTCAAGTTATTTATTTATCTATCTAAACAAAACTAGGCTTACAATAACAATGGCCAAAGTTTATTATTAAAAAAATTTTTTCCTTAAAAGCTTTTTTTTCACTTTTTTGTTGTGTTAAACTGAAGCTGAAAGTCAACCTTAAAAAAAAATTATTATAAAGGAGTCGGTAATAATTTTGGTTTTTTCAGAATTATTTCTGGAAACTTATTTTTATATTTTAGTCTCTGAATTGTGAACCTGTTTTTAATTACCATTATTATTGGAAGAATTTACTAAAATTTTAGGGGTGTGAATAATAAATTATACTAACCCTTCGAACTTACAAGCGTAAAAAATCTTTGATCGGTGAAATTTTAAGTTTATACATTTAATCTATTTCTAGTTATCTTATCTGTTAGCACAATCATGGTGTGTTTTAAAATCAAGAAATAGCATTTCTTGATTTTAAAACACATCATGATTATGAAATCGAATTTTAAGATTATTTTATGGAGAGAGAGATTTTAAATAATCAGTTTTATTAAGTAATGAGGTAGAAAAACAAGAGGAAAGCCACAAAATCGGTAATGTTCTTTAGCTCTCTTCTCGTCCTCTTTTGCATATAAATAACTTTCCTTTTAATGCTTTACTGTAATATCGTATCTAAAGCATTTTGAAATAATTTTTTTATAATAATAAAAAATTTTCTATTATCGTTATCGCAGGACACAAAAAAACAACGGTGAAAATTTGCAAGATTTGGTGACGCCTCAATGTGACGAAAAATATATTAAATTTACATATAAATTATATCTGACGTCTCAAATACAGATTCCATGATTGACACACATTGCCTGTGATCCCTTAATTTTTTAAAATAAATTATGAGATTGTACGCTTTTAAAATAAAATTATTTAATTTATCAAGAGATGGCGCCTAACTCTAATGCCAAATTGTCTATTAAATTATTAGTAATATAGCCGTTAGCCCGATAATATTCGGCTTTGGTTGATATATAGCTTTAAGAGATGGAACATTACAGTTTTCCAATATTGTAATTCAACGTACAAGTATGTAAAGAAATACTAAACAATAGCTCAGTTTTTTTTTATTCGAACAATTTTGTACAAAGTTTTCAAATATTCAATGTTCAAAATTGAACATCTCAAAATATCCCTTTCGCCACCGATTTTTTTTTATTTTCATTCATTTAGTTCATGTATTTTCAATCGGGATGTCGCTCCTATGCCGCGACATTTCTGTCCTGAACAGCGCCATGACACTTCCATACATTACTAAAAGTACGAAGAGTTCAGCAACTTGACGTACTATACATAAATGATGTAGGGATGCCACTACTAGAAAACGTTGAGAGAATTGTTTCGCGATGTGTAACCCGGGAGGTGCCGAATAGTTTTGGCGCCCAAGGTAAACATCATACTTGGCGCTTCTGATTCAACTTTAGTTACAAAAAAAAATTCTACAGCAAAGCTAAATACATTTAGCGTCCCAAAGTCGACGCCCGGGGTGTGCCCAACTCTGCCGTCTCCATTAGTTATGTATAGCAGGGCAATAACAAGCACGACCACGTCGCCAATTGTACAAATTTTTTTTATTTGATAATCTAGTACAATCAGAAGAATGAGAGAACTGTTCTTTCAAAAAAATCCATATTTCAATATAAAGCATTTTCATACCGTCAAGAACTTAACGTTTTCTAGTCTAGTATCCATTATCAACAATGGAACACTTTTTAAATTCCAGAAATACGGAGCAGAGTACAAAAAAACCGGTTCTAAACGCGAAATAATTTTTTTAAGTTTTATTTTGTAGCAATGTATTGTACTTTGATATGGTAAATAAGAGAGATGTTTTTAACTTTAACTTTAAAATTTACATGTTTATTTACCATACCAAATGTACTCAAATGTATATTATTTTGTTGTAATATATTACAGTTGTGCCTCGAATAACGGACGCTGCGAACAATGGACTTTCTGCGAACAAGTGCGAATGATGTTTCCACTCTATGGCCGTTACTAATGACAATCTGCTATTTTTATAATATATTAGTATTATTAGAATATATTATCAGTATATCTGAAGTACATAGCTCCCGTTAGGATTCGGCTTGCTCCTTTGTTTATTACGTACATCACCTCAGTGCAGGGTATTTACATTTATTCAAGTATTGTGCAAATCATGGCTTCTAAAAAAACAGAAAAGTGATTTTCAATTGAAACAATGCAAGAAATCATCAGAAGGAGTGAAAGTTGACAAAAACTTCCTTGTCAAATGGGGAGATGTTCAGGAGTTTACCTACACTCATTATCCAAACAGAGCTGAGGACAACAGGATCAATGATACCCTTGCCTATCATTTCCGACAGGTGTTGAAGAAGAGAGAGAAACAGACCACCTTGGACATGTTTTTCAAGAAGCCAGCTGCCAAAAAACAAAGGATGGAATAAGAGGAGTTGACCCTGCAAGCTCCGGTAGCCTCTCCTGAATCTGACTCTGATTAAAAAAACAATAAAAAGAGACCTTCTGCAATGTGTAAAAAGTCTGTTTCTGTATGAATGTGTGAAGACAGTGTTCCTCCACGTCCTCCTCACGATATCTGACTACCCGGCATAATTGGTGACTACTTCATTTTCATTTTTTTATGGCACAGTACGGTTATTTTATGCTTTCGTATAACGGACTTTTCACTTAACGGATGTGCACCTGGAACGGATTAAGTACATTATACAAGGCACCACTGTATTACAAAATAAAACTTAAACACTGAAAATTCGCGCACTTTTCAGTTATTTGTCCACACAGTCTTTTCTATAATAAGTTCTATTGTTTGAGGAAAGATTTTTAAATTATTCATTAAGACCAGATATATATAATTAAAAGTAATAAGAATTTCAAGAAAATTTATGTAGGCTTACATGTATATATCTAGGTCTTTGTCCGTAACTACTATCAGCAGTCCAATTTGGCGTTTCATATTGCTTTGCGATACACTTCCAATACTTTTGTAATTTATAATAATTCTTATATACAGTAGTGGGTGTGTGTAATTTGTAGTAATGCAAGATATTTCTAATGCTTCGAATTTTCTAAAATTGATACACACGTAAATTTTAATCAGCTACAGTAATTAAAAGTATATTGCAATGAAATGCACCGTTAACGCTGTCTTGTCTTTACGGGCAAATTATTACTATCACTGACAAGACCACGAAACTCAGATATGAAATCAGAGCTTGAAAACAAACTAAATTACAAATTATTAGACACAATTATTGTGAAGCTTGTTGCGCTGCTAGGCAGTTTTTTTCAGTGCTTAATTAATGCAATTTAGTTATGTTTACCATTTTAAACAAAATAGCAGGCAAAGAAATACTTTTAAATATGCCGTACGGAAAAGAATGTTTTTCCGAGGATAGCTTTAGTTTTGGAACCTTGGCTGCATGAGGAATTGCGATCTACCGCACGGTGGAGTACGAGTATAAAGAAATTGATTAAATCGTGACTCAATAGCATTTCTAAAATTCGACTTTTGTCCACTGTTTGGAACTGTACAATAATGGGTTTATTCACCACCGGTATTTATAATTGGCAGTTGTTAATACATATTTCTCCAAAAGTATCAAATTGCGAATGATTGACTTAGGTGTTTGATATGAAAACAAATCTCAGTCGAAATTATAATAAAATTGTGTGACCGGTGGTGTAACTAAGAGTAATTATTTGACACCCACTCGATTCCTAAGTAGAAAACTATTACAGTAAAGTCTCGAAAACTCGGCACTCCATAACCCGGCAGTCCGGATAACTCGGCCACACCCTGGCAGGGCAAAAAAAATCCTTAGTTAATTAATTTTCATTATAGACAGCTTTATGCCTCTCAAAGTATTTTTATGAGGTCTGTCTTATCAGGTAAATTACTGTACACAATGTATTCATTAATTTTAATTTTCATGTAGTAAAGGCTCTATGCCTTCATAAAGGACGTACTTTTCCTTTGTTTAAGGGTATTTGGGCAGTTTATTCTCTATTGTATTCTCAAGCAAACAATACATACAAGTACAGTACAGTATTTTCTGAGGAAACACTCATACTTATTTTTTTAACCCCATTTCCGATAACTCGGCATTTTCACAAACTCGTCCACCCTTCGGTCCACATTAGGCCGAATTTTCGAGAGACTACTGTATATATATAGGGGAACCCCGGGGCGGAATGTGGTAGCTAACGAAGAAGTTAAAATTATGTCAACAATAAAAGAAAAATAACAAAACAAAAATATTACATTATATAGTTTACTAGCTGTTACCAGCGGATTTTGCAAGCAAATCCCATTTATATTCAGTATTTCAACAACCATAGTAATTGTTATATAACACCCACTACTGAGAATGATGAAAATTGCCGAGAATCAAACGAACTATTTTCAATTTTTTTCAATTTTCTGGAACGTTTACAATCGTTCTACAATCGAACCAATATGCAATAACAAATTCGAATTTAAAACGGTCCGAACATTTTTAAAATCGAAATACATAAAAATATTTATAACAATGTCTGAAATGTTATTAATTTAACCCTCAATCGACGGCGGTTGGATGGCCGAGCGGTCAAGGTGGCAGCCTACCGCTCTGGGGAACCCGGGTTCGAATCCGAACGGATCGAAAAATCCC